GGGCTGTGCCCGGGGTACACTACGGGCAGCTACATCCCGACCCGGGGCGTGCGGGCAGGCAGCAGCTTAGCTCTCCTCCTTCTCAGCTTCCTCCTTGTCTTCTTCGTCGTCTTTCTCTCCCTTGAGCTTCTGGCGAGCGAATTCCTCGATGACGATGTCCTCCTCGCTGGAAGGGAGAGCAGAGTAGGATGTGCCACAGAGAGGAGGAGAAATCCCTGCTGCCCCCAAACCCTGCTCCTTCCAGGGATAACGAGGTGGTCACCCCAGCCCTGTCACCCCGCAGGGCACAGGCAGGTCCTGAGCCCAGCACACAAATCCAAGCCCCAGCACACAAATCCAAGTCCCAGCACTGGCTCAGCTACGACTGTGCATGACCCAAGGAGCTGCAGCTTCTGGAGAGTTTTAAGACAATATTTTGCATTGTCAGAGGTGGGAAGGAATTAAAAGTGGAGACAAAGAGCTGAGTTACCTCCTTGAGAAAGGTGAGCAGCAGGTGACAGCAAGGGAGAGGCATAAAGTGAAAAGGGGGGGAGAAAATGGGGAAAAAGAGTCAGCAAAGTTCCAAAATGTTAGGAGTGTGAAACAACTTGGCAAAACCTACAGGGAGTGATCTGGGGACAGACCAAGAGATTTGCTCCTCTAGAAGTTTAAATATCCTCACTGAGTTGAGAAAGGGATAGTGGGAAAGGGATAGGTGTGAACACAGTTGGAGCCTGAGTTTCCAGCTCCAAATCCCCTTGGGGGTTTTACACAGGGCTGTGGCTGCCAGGAATGGGTTTGGAATTCCCAAAGGGAAGCTGCCCCACCTGTGGCTTCAGCTGGAATAAGTGGCAGGAGTAAAAGAGGACTCTGGGGCACACGGATGTGACTTCCAGCAGCCAAGGGGACCAAGGCCATGGGGACATTATGTCCAGTGGTGGCACTTGTGACTGGAAGAGCCTTGCCAGCTACTTCCAAGGGACAAGGTGAGATCTGGGCCTGCTGCAAGGGGAGCTGGAAAATAAGCCCTGCTGAGCCCAGGATCTTATTCCTCCTGGCCTGGGCCAGTGCTCCTGCTGCCTGTGCCACTGTGGAGTGTCTGCTGGGGCACAGGCTCAGGGCTTTGGGGCCTGCCTGGTTCCATCCAAGGAGGTAACCTCAAGCTGGAATGGAGCATTACATCCACCTGTGATGGACCTGTGTGGTTTGTGTGTTAGGGGAAACAGCTCTTTACCTTGGCTTGACTGTTGTCCAGAGAGAAGCACAGCACAGGGAGAAATGGATGGGGAGAGAGAGACAGACATGCAGGTTAGGACACAAAGGACAGTTCAACTAACAGTGCTCAGGGGATTTCATGGAAAGAGGAACTTTGGGAAGGGGATATGGAGGAAACTAATCCCACCCTGCTCCAAGATAGGGGGTGAGTGCTGCACATCTGTACAGCTGTGCCCACCCCAGAGCTGGGGCAGAGCAGAGCCCTTGGCACTACGGGGGCTGCATCAGTGTTGCTTTCTCCAGTTCCCCCCTGACCCAGACCTGCCTCTTCCTCCCTATGTTTTGGTGACATCCCACACACAACTTACTGTCCTCAGGCTTTGGGTGCATCAGGATGACAGGCAGCTCCACCCCAACATCACTGGAAAGAAAAACACCTCTATCAGTAATCCTGCCCAGCACTGCACCATGCTCAGCACCCCCAGCAAGCTCCTCCTTACCTGGAAGTGAGATCCCCAAGGATCCTGTGGCAAAGGGAGAGAAGGGACACAAATCAACCAAGGCAGAGGAGGAGACAGATTAGACTTTGGCTTTTGATAAAGCAGAAGATGATTGATAACAAGGTGATGGGCCTGGAGGGGTGGGAGTCAAAGCAGCCCAGCACCCCATAGCCCCCAGGAAGGGGGTGAGGGGGCCCATGTGAGTCCCCTCTCCATCTCCCCAGGGGTCCAAGATGCCCAGCACAGCCCAAGAGGGCAGTTCCTCACCCCCCATGCCCACAGAGCCTTACCCTCCTCGGGACACCACCAGGTTGACCTTCACTTTGTAGGACACCAAGATGCCCAGCACCTCCTTGTCCATGCCAGGTCTCAGGCTAGGAGAAAGGCAGAGCAGAGTGGTGAGGAGGGAATTGGTGCCCACAAACCCCATCCACACTCCCCACAGCAGCTCCCAGGGCTGTATCCGTGCCCTGCTACATGTGGGGTGCACTGGGGGTTAGGAGGAGAAGACAACAGGAGAAGAGAAGGGAGGACAGGGCACTTGACTGAAGCCACTGAGTGGTTTCTGGAGGCCCCTTGAGCTGCCTGAGCTGGGATTTACTTCCAAGGAGGTTCTCCTCTACCCAAGGGATTTGGGAACCCTTGGGGACAACTAGTTTCCCTTGAGAAGCCAAAAAAGGGCATAACTCCTCTCCGGAGCTTGATCCAGGGGCAAGGAGAGGACCTGGATGAGCTCCACACCCCCAGGCAACTCTTGGGGCTCCCAGGCCTTGGAGTGATGGAGGTTCTCCTCTGCCCAAGGGATTTGAGAGCCCTCAGGGCAACCCACAGCTCCTTTCTGCTTGGCTCAGCAGGATCAGGAGAGGAGTGTAGATCACAATTCCCTCCAGAGCTCAGTCCAAGGGCAGGAATGAGCTCTGCAGAGGGATCCAGGAACTTTGAATGATGTTGGGATGGGGAGGCTACATCTCTCCTATGAGATGGAGAGGTGGATCTGTGGCCATGCCCCAAAATCCCTACATTTTCCAGCTGGATGTGGTGGGCTCAGGCACGGGAGGTGTGGAGGATCCTTGGTGGGAGCCCAGAGGATCCTGACCAGTGGGTGGAAGACATGGGGTTGGCCTTGGGGAGAAGATATGGGTCTGGCCATGGTGGGGAGCAAGGGGGATCCCACCCAGCTCTCACATGGTGGTGGAGGCCAAGTTGGTGTCCTCATGCTTGAGCTTTCCATCAAGGGCAAGACCTCTCTTCTGGCGGTTGTTCGAGAGCAGAGGCGTCACGGAATAGGTCTTGGAGAAGGTGGAGTTGGCTGCCACATTCTCACTGGAAAAAGAGGGAGAGAAAACCTCAGAGCCAGCACCAGCCTGGTGGGTGCTCAGCATCACCCCAGGCCCCTGTGCAGAGCCACTGCTCCACCCTGCCCTCCCCACACAGCTGTCTGGGGCTGCTTCCTCCTTTCTCTGCAACCACTTCTTTTTTTCTCTGCCTGGTCTGGGCTCCATCCTCCCTGTTCTCAGGGCTGCAGGGGCTGTGGCTGGGCCTCAGAGATGCAAAGTGATCAGAGGAAGAAGCTGAGGAGCAGATGTGCACCTTCCCCAGGGACCTCCCTAACTGCCACAAGCTTGTGCTGGGACAGTGTCCACAGCCTTTCTTCTCCTCAGCTTCCTCTGCACCTGCTCTTCTAATTTTGCTGCTTGGTATAAAACTGCCTCCCACAGCCTCTCTCCCCATCACTCTCTTCTCTTCCTCCCTCTGGCTGTGATGCCATGTCACTTCCAGCCCCTTTGCCACTTACTTTATCTCCTCACTGCACACAGTCTTTGTGTATTTATCCAGGGAGTAGAGGACCACGTCTGTGATCTGATCCACTGAGGAGAGACGAGAGGGAGCAGCGTTGGTGATGTGGCACAAGGTCCCTCTCTCTGAGCAGGAGGCAGGGATGAGTTGAGCACAGGGATGTGTCCCTTCTGCCCGCTCTCACCTGTAATCTTGATCTTTTTCACAACCTTGTTGGTGGTGTTGTTGATGTTGACAGTCACGTTGATGGCGTCTCCGTGGTAGTAGATCTGCAGTGGGAAGAGGTTCAGTTACCTGACCAGCCATCCTGGTCCCAATCCTTAGAGCCAGGGGACACTTCCCCACTCACTTCCTTGTCCAGGGTTGCTTCAAGGTGCAGAGGCTTGTCAGACATCATGAACTGCCTGGTGGTCTCTGCTTTTGGGGCTGGTCCTCTCTGAGAAGGTGCAAACTGCACCTTGCGGATGATGAGGCGCACAGAGTTCCTGTAGGGAGAGGAGGACATTGCCACCCCCAGTGTCCCCAGCAGGGACATGTCCACACCACCCTCAAGGGGGACACAGCATCTCTCTGGGGACATCAGTGTCTCCAGCACACTGAACTCTTAGGACATGGCACAGGGACCACCACCCTCCCCTCGGGGCACTACCCCAACCCAAGCATGGCACAGGTCCTTGGCCTGACCCCTGAGCTGCTCACCCTAAAAACACCCTGTGGTTAGGTTTTAGGGCAAGAAAGGGATCCCCTGCAGATACCTCTTGTGAATTTTCTCCTCCAGGTTTTCAGCACAAAAGCCTTTGACCTCGAAGTCCACACCACAGGCCTGGAGGGAACACGGATGGTCATGGAGCAGGAAGAGCTCAGAGCTGCATGAGGTTTAGGTTCCTTCCCCTCCTTCCTCCACTGCCTCCCTGGAGATCCTATTATTGACTCTATCCATCCTTCCTCCCCCATCCCTCACCCCATGGGCCACATCCCCATGGAAGAGAATCAATTCTGAGCACCTCACATGTAATCCTCTATGGAGTTGGATGTGTCCAGGGGACATGGTTTGGGGAAATCAACTCACCTTTCCCACATCATCTGGCCCAGGCTGCAGGGTGATGGAGCAGGGCAGGTTGGTGGCAATCTGGGCAGAACAGAAAGAAAAAGAGGGAATAAAGTATATAAGGAGTGTGCCCAGAGGTGACCCCTGGTGTGCATCATGGATGTGAGTGGCCAAGAAGGGCTGAGCAGCCCCTACCTCGAAGGTGAAGGGATAAGCATTCTCCCCAAGCTTCTTCAACAGCTTCTCCTGCAGAGGAGTGAGGGTTTTGGGGGTCTGGTCCGGCACTGGTGGGTAGAGTTGGGTGGTGAGGACGTAGATGTCCTTCCTGAAGGTCAAGCCGATCACATCGAGGTCATCGCGGCCGTAGCGGAAGGCGCAGGTCAAGGTGACATACACTGAGCCAGGGGAGGAGAGGAGAAGGAGAGGGGGTAAAGGGAATGGAGTTGAGTAAGGAGGAGAGAAAGAAAAGCTTTCAATAACTCTTCAGCAGAAGTGTGACTATTCCCAGGCCCTGAAACTCAGACTCCAGAGTTAACAGGATTCATCATGTCTTTCTTCTGCTGTGGCCCTGACCTGCCAGGGCTGGAGAGAGGTGGGGGATGTGTGTCCTGCCATGGCTGCAGGGAGAGGACTAGAGGGAATGGCCTTGAGCTGGGACAGGGCAGAGTCAGAGGAGATGTTTCCCTGGCAGTGTTCACAGACAGGTTGGATGAGCCTTGAGCAACCTGCTCAGGTGGGAGGTGTCCCTGCCCAGGGCAGGCGGTTGAGGCTGGGTGATCTCTGAGCTCCTTTCCAACCCCTGAAACTCTATGATTCTATGTTAGGAAAATGTCTTCCCTGTTGTGGTGTTGAGGCCCTGGGATATTGCCCAGGGAGGTGGTGGAGTCACCATCCCTGGAGGTGTTTCAGAGGTGTCTGGATGTGGCATTGGAGGATCTGGTTTAGGGTTTAGGGGTTCCAGCAGTGACAGGTTCATGGTTGCACTCAATGACCTAAGAGTTCTCCTCCAACCCTGATGGTTCTGTGCCATACAAGGAGCTGTAGACAATGTGTCACAGCTGAAACCTGAGCACAGTGCCAGGTTCTCTGTGAGCTCTGCACTGGTTTCCATCCCCTCCCCTACCCCATGGGCTTTCCTCTCCCAATACCTTTCCTGTCCTTTAGGTACTCTGGGTCGATCAGGCAGACACCATCTGCAAACAAGCAGAGAAGAAGGCCCAGTGAGCTCAGCCACACAGGAAGATCCTTGCTAAAACAGCTTTTCAAACTCCAATCATCTGCTTTCCAGCTGGAAGGTGACTGAGAGGAGCTGCTGGGCAGGGGAGGGTGATGCCTCCTCCAGCACCTCCACCAGCAGCGTGACCAAGCCACTTGATCCTTTTCCCACCATGTTTCTGCAAGGTTATTTGTAGCTCCTCTGGAGCTTCCCTTGCTCCTCATCCTACAGTGGGAAGCAGAGAGGAGCAGCCACCAGCACAGGGACTGGTCTCCCCATCCTCCCCCTGCCTGTGCTTCCCAATCCATGGTGGGCACAGCCCGACTCACCTACACTATCCACTGACTCCACATGATCCACAAAGTCTCTCTTGCCCAGGTAGATGGAAAGCTGGAGGCAGCACGTGGCAAAAGGAGGAAACAAGTTAGTGTTTGCCATTGAATCAGCCCAAATTTGAAGCCCTGATTTGTGTCAAGAGGGACCAGAGATCACATTGAAGGGGTCACACTGGTTTCCTTCATGTCAAGGAGGACCCAAGATCACATCTAAGGGATCACATTGGTTTCTTATTTAGTTTGTTTTGCAAAGTTAGTCCTGCAGTGGCATCTTGGCAGGTTCTGGCAGGAATCAATCAGATTTCAAAGGGAAGGGAGATCCAGCCTGGATTCCATGGGCAGATCCACCCTGGAGGAGCCCCAGCACTGACCCAGACCTGGGGACAGGTTCCCATCTCTGTGTGCATGGACTCACCTTGCTGTTGGGGCTGGTCTTCTTGAACACCCTGTGGAGGAAACAGAGCCAGGTGGATGGGAATGCCTTGAACAAGGCTGGATGGGGCACAGCCCTCACCCAGGGCAGGGAGATCAGGGATTCCTTGCAAGCAAAGTGCATCGCCAAGAGCTACACCAGAGCCTGCTGGGGGTGTCCTGGCCTTGGGGAACGCAGTGTCCTGGGAATTCGGAGCTGAACCCAGCCTGGGGGTGTCATGCTCCTGAGCTCAGGGGACCATGGAGGAGGGGATGGGTTTGTGTGTCTTAAGGGCAAGGACACACAGAAGAGAGAAGCTTTGTTGGCTGTATGATGACTAACTCTATCTTTTTATATCAAGCCCATGATGTTCCAGACCATGGGAGCCTCAGGTGAGAGGAGCCAAGGGACTTGTCCTTCTCCCTCTTCTCCTGCCCTGCAGCACTTTGCTCCAGCCCAGTTATAAATCAATGAACAAACAAAGACACTTACTTTGATCCTTGTGCCATTTTAGGTCAGTGGCTGCACAGGTTGGGATCTGTGGGGAGAGAGGAGGGAAGCACTGGGTGAGGTGTTGGTGGAAGGAGCATCCCTTGGTCATCACCACGAGTGAGACAACATCCTCCACATCCCAATAAACTGCAGAGCCCTTGGGATATGGCTCTGCTGGGCCTGGTACCTTTGCAGAGCTTCTGGCTCAGCTGGGGCTGCTCAGCTTTGGGGAGACACAGGAGCTGAGCCACCCCTTGGTCCTGAAGGGAAAGGGGAAGAGGAGGTAGGAGAGAAAAAGGGAGGGCAATGCCCCAAAAAATAGGAAGCACAGGGAGCAGGTTCAAGGCTGGGAAAGGCAAGAAAATGAACAAAAGGACTTAAGGAGTTTCAGTTTATGACTTTTTCCTGCCTGCAGGAAATGAGTTGTCATGGTTTGACAATAGGAATGGGCTTGTCTTGTGCTGTCACTCCCAGGAAAGTAAGGAAACCACAGGGAGGAAGGCTGAGGGAGCTTAACTGCCCTGTGGGCAGGATGGGCTCGGGGTGCAGAGCCCTCTGTTCCCATCCCTTCGTGCCAGGAGCACGGCTGGGGCTGTCCAGCCCTTCCCAACTCTGCTGCCCCAGCCCAGTGTCCAGAGTGAACCCCTAAATATCCCCCTGATCACCACCTGATTCGCTGGGATATTAGATGGGATGAGCTCAGCTGCTTAGAGCTTGGCAGCCCTGACATGAGCAGGGCTTAGGAACAGGCAGGATTTTAAGCCCCAGGGGCACGTGGACACAGTTGCCTCTACACAAGCACCTCATAAGGACCATCTGCAGGGATGGTGGTGAGAAGAAATTGGTATGGGTGGGAGAAGATGATTCTCTTCCCCATGGGAAGACAAGGGACTAGTCCCCAATCAGGGTCTTGGATACCCTTGGGTGCTGTGGGAAGCTCAGGAACCATTGACTGCAGGTATTCCTGGGCAGCAGCAAGAGAAGGTGTGAAGGGAGATGGAGCAGCTCAGTGCCATGGGCTCAGCCCTCTCCACACTCCAGGAATTGGGGATAGGGCAATGAAAGGTGAAGGAGAGAAGAGCTGAACATCTCCTCTGCATCTCCCAAGCCTCAGAAAGGGGATTCAACCCCCTCCTGGCTTGGCTAAGCTCTCCTACATCACCACCCAACCCTTCCACTGATGCTGAAATCTGTTTCCTTTCCTCCCTTTTCAGCCCCAATGTCCCTACCCCAAGGTCTTTCCAAGCCCACAGAACCCCAAAGCAGCAGAGCAAGCAGCACTCACCTGGCGGGTGGCTGGACAGGCAGACTCCTCTTCCTCTCCCAGCAGGTCCCAGTGCCACCCAGTCACTACAGGCTGCTCCCAGTCCTGCAGCTTCTTATATCCCCCCAGGCTGTCCCTCCTCTGGTGTCTGATCTCACCCACTCAGGGCTGGCTGGGGGTGCAGGGGGTGTGTGTCTGTGTGTGAGTGCTCTGTGGGAGAGGAATCCTATTAGTTGATTAATTGGGGAGACGCTGCAGGAGTAAGAGTGGGCTATAAATACCTCTGTGCTGCAGCCCAGGGAAAGCAGCTTACAGGGATTGGCAAAGACAGGCTTAGGAGCAAGGTGATGGTAATTGAGGTGGAAGCTCTGCTCCTGGTGTGCATGGGCAGGGGCATGGAGGCCTCAGGGGTGCTCTCTGCAGCTGCTCCCATGGCAAGTGGAGCTGGGCAGGAAGGTGGATGGAGGTGGTGGAGAGGAGGGAAGGACCTGCCTAGTGTTCTCAAGTGCAGAGGAGGCCACGAAGCTGCTCAGAGGATTGGAGCATCTCCCATGTGAGGACAGGCTGAGGGAGTTGGGGCTGTTGAGCCTGGAGAAGAGAAGGTTGTGTGGAGACCTCAGAGCACCTTCCAGGAGCTGAAGGGGCTCCAGGGAAGCTGCAGAGGACTCTGTGTTAGGAGCTGCAGAGACAGCACAAGGGGCAATGGGCACAAATTGAAGGAGGGAAATTTAGGCTTGAACTTAGGCAGAAGTTTTTC